TGTAAGGCCTTGACTACAATGTAAAATAGGTTTTGCAAGTCAAGGTGCATTGTTAGGTTAAGAACTACAGTTAGTGTTGGAGACAGGCCTTTTGGCTTAGATTACAGGGCCAAAATCAAGGTTAAAGTTAGATTGAAAGAAAGATCAGTGTTAGGGGTAGGGAGTGCAGTGATTGTAATGAGGTCTGCCAGGTGGACCTCAGAATAGGAGTTCCCTGACTGGACCAGATTAAACAGCCCCAATTAGGGAGTCCTGGCTGACAGGCATAAACAGGAGTGTCAGAGGTTCTGTTCACTCCGAGAGCCAGCTCAGACAAAACTAGACTAGGGTCAAGGACGCTCCGCATGTAAATAAAGGGTGACTTGGTGACAGGATATGGGCCTCTGTGAAGTTACTTCAGGGCAGGTTTAGGTGTCAGGCAATAACAAATATCAGATTCAAAGTTACTGTTTGGCTTGGGGTTTGGAATAGGAGTGATGCTGGGGCCAGGACTGGGACGGGGAGTGGGGCATAACTGGCTTTCAGGCTAGGTTGTTTGTATGTCATTTGGAAACAAATGTGGAATGTTGTACTATGTTAAGTGATTTGGAGGAGAATATAGCTGGTCTATTAGTATGTTTGCTGATGACACAGATTAGGGGAGCTGTGGATAGTGAGGAGGATTGCCACTGGATACAGCAGGATATAGATAGGCTGGAGACTTGGGCAGAGAAATGGCAGATGGAACTGCAAATGCGACTTCAAAACAGTCAAATGCGACGTGAAGCATTTTGCAAGGAAGTAGACAGTAAATGACAAATTCCTTAGGAGCATTAACATATAGAGGCATCTCGGTGTATAGGTCGACAAACAGGAGGCTGGAAGAACACAAGAGGCCAGGCAGCATTTGGAGGAAAGGAGCAGTCAACGTTTCAGTATTTCATTGTCCTAAATAAGGGTAATACCTGAAACTTTGACTGCACCTTTCCTCCAGATGGTGCCTGGCCTGCTGTGTTCTTCCAGACTCCTGTTTGTCTATCTTGGATTTTTTGTCTGTAGGTGTACAAGTCCACATTTCCTTGAAAGGGGCAACACAGGTCGATAAGGTGGAGAAGAAGGCAAATGGTATATTTGCCATCATTGGTTGGGGCATAAAATATACAAATTAGCAAGTCATGTTGCAGCTCTATAGAATTTTATTCAGGCCACATTTGGAATATTGTGTACAGTTGTGATCGTCACACTACTAGGAGGACACGGACACTTGACAGGGTACAGAAAAGTTTACCAGATTGCTGCCTGGTTTGGAGGGTATTAGCTATGAGGAAAGATTGGACAAGCTTTCACTAAAACAGAGGCTGAGGAGTGATGCATTAGAAATTTTAAAAAATTATGAAAGGCATGGATAGAATGAATGGTCAGTCTTTTTCTAAGGGTAGAAATGTCAATTAGTAAGGGACATAGTTTGAAGGTAAAAGGAGCAATGTTTAAAGATGTGAGGCGCAAGTTTTTTTTTACACGGAGGGTTGTAAGTGCCTGGAATGTGCTGCCAGGGGAGGTGGTAGAAGCAGATACAATAGCAACAGTTAAGAGGCAACTTGAAAGGTAATGAACAGGCAGGGAATGGAGGGCTCAGGACCTCATAGAGACCAAAGGTTTTTAGTTCAGAAAGCATCATGTGTCAGTGAAGGCTTGAAACATAAAGGTTATGTTCCTGTGTTGTACTATTTTTTGTTCTGTTCAATTGTGTTATGACCACTATTTCACAATGAATTGTTTACTATTACTTTCTTAATTAATCCTATTCATTTGTACAATACTAGATATATAAAACTTTTATCCCTAGCTGATTCTACAACATATTGCTCCAGAAAACTTGTGAAAGCATTCTATAAACTCATCTTCCAGGATTCCCTTAATCTCTCCCATACTGATTCTACTTTCTGAATCAGGATTCATTCTTACTAATGTTCCTATATCAGCCATTTTTAGTAACTTTTATTATCAGAATTACTGCTCCTTTTCCTGGTTTATAGAAGGGATGTTAGCTTTGCAGACTATGCCATCCACTCTTTCCCATTTCTAAATGCCCTGAGAATGTGGTGGTGAGCTGAGTCCATGAAGTTAGGAATATGCTGTTAGGAAAGAAGTTCCAGGGTTGTGACTTGGCAACAATGAAGTAATGGCAACACAATGCCAAGTTAGGATGGCATGCAACTTGGAGGGGAACCTGCCGGTGATAGTCACGTATATTGAATTTTCATCATTTCATTCAAATTCCATGCGTTTGGTGCTCTTGCCTTCATAGGTGGAGAGTTTGTGCATTTGGACAGTGTGTGGAAGGAACCTTGGTGAGTTACTGCATGCTGCTGCCACAGCACGCACTCGTGAAGTGACTGAATGCTGAAGGTGGTAGAAGGGGCATCACTGCTTTATTCTGATGGTGTCAAGCTTCCTGAGGGTTACTGGAGCCATACTCTCCACTTACCTGAATGATTATTCCATCACACTCTTGATTTATATCTTGCTTTGGTAAGTCGAGAGGTGAGTTACTCACTGCAAGATTTCTAGTCTCTGACCAGCTCTTCTAGCTATATTATTCACACAACTAGTCCAGTTCAGTTTGTGGTCAATGGTAATCCCCAGATTGTTGATATCGGAATGGATTCAGTAGTGGTAATTTTATAAAAATTCACTCGTGGAATGAGAGTTTCACTGGCTGATCAGCATTTATTTCCTATTGTTAGTCACCTTTGAGAAGGTGGCGGTGAGCCCCCTTCTTAAATTGCTGCTGACCATGTGCTGTAGGTAGACTCTCAATGCCCTTAGGAAGAGAGTTCCAGGATTTTGACCCAGCAACTGTGAAGCAATAGCAATATGTTTCCTAGTCAGGATGGTGAATGGCTTGGAAGAGAACATGCACCCATGTATCTGCTGCACTAGTCCTTCCAGATGGAACTGGGTTGTACGTTTGGATCTGTCTGCAGTGCATCTTCTGGATTGTACCCACTGCTACCACTGAGCAGCGATGGTGGGATGACTGAATGCTTGTGGATGTGGTGCCATTCAAGCAGACTGCTTTGGCCTGGACGGTGTCAAGCTTCTTCAGTGTTGTTGGAGATGCAGTCATCTAGGTGAGTGGGGAGTATTCTATTATACTCCTGACTTGTACCTTGCAGATGGTGGAAAGGCATCCAAGGATGGCACTAGGCTCATGAATGATGCCTTGCAGATTCAGAAGGGGGTATGTCGTATTCAACTCCAAATTTAACTTTATCCTCAGCCCAAAACCACCCTAATCCTAACCCCATTCCAGTCCAAGGTTAGAATTAGACAGTGGGTGGCATAACACTAATCCAATCCCTAACCCTAACACTAACTTTAAGTAACCCTCAACCTAAACTTACCCCAACCCTAAATCTAACCCTAGCAAAGGTGAGACTAACCGTAACCCTAAACCCTAAACCCTAAACCCTATCCCTAACCCTAACACCCTACTAATCCTAACACTCTGCAATTACTCTCTGCAGTATTCCTAACCACAAATGCATTCTTGCAGCCACTGCATTTCTATGGAGAGTCCAGTTGAGCTTCTGGTCAATGCAACCCTCAGGGCGCTGATACAGAGAAATGGTAAAGCCATTGAATACCAAGGAGCAGTTGTTAGATTGTCCTTTGTTAGTGATTGTTATTGCCCGCACATTTGTTTGGCGCAAATATTACTTAACATATTTCAACCCAAGTCTGGATACTGTCCAGGACTTGTTACTTGATGAACATCCCCATTCTGATTCAGGGAAGGTCATTGATGAAGCAGCTAAAGATAGTTGAACCGAGAGCACGACCCTGAGAAATTCCTGCAGCAAGATCCAGGAGCTCAAATAACTGACCTCCAACAACCACTACTATCTTACGTGCCAGATATGACTCCAACCATAGGAGAGTTTCCCTCAATGTCCATTGACTCCAGGTTTGCTCGAGCTCCTTGATGCCAGAGTAACTCTATCTAATGCAGTCCTGATATCAAGGGCCATCGTTCTCACTTCACCTCTGCAATTCAGCTCTATTGTCCATGATTGAACCAAGGCTGTAATGAAGTCGGGAGCGGAATAGCTTTGTAGAACCCAAGCTGGGCATCAGTGAGCAGGTTATTCATAATGCCACTGAATGTCAAAGGGCAATAGTTATATACTGTGAAAATGCAATTGCCTGGCACTTGACTGGAGTTACTTGCTACTTATTAGCCCAGACTTGCATGTTATCTAGAGCTTGCTGCAAACAGACATGGGCTCATCTGGAGTCTGAGGAATTGCAAATAGTGTTGAATATTGTGCAATCATTGGCGAACATTCCCACTTCTGACTTTATGATGGACAGAATGTCATTGTTGAAGCAGTTGAAGATGGTATTTCCTTTTCCAATCGGTCTGTCTTTTTGAAATGTTGTAAACTCTGAAATATTTATTTCTACATCTTGTCACCTTGTATCCAGGTCTTTGTAGTGTTGATTTGATCTGAATTAGACTTTACTGTGACATATACTCAAGTACAGGGATAGGCAAGAATATAGTGAAAAATGTACAAAGTCACCATTCCTGGCGCCATCTTAGATACAAAGATACCTAGATACAAGATCTTGAGTATAAAGTATAAAAAAAGGAAGTCGTCCTGAAGGCACGGTTGAGATTCTGGAAGAGAAACCGAAAAATAGGACCTCAAAAAGTAGCAAATCTCCAAATTACTCCTGGGGCCATGGGCTAGTGAGTACAGAAATAAGACTTGTGTCTCTAGTTAATAACTTTTATGTAAACTATGGTAATTATGGGGATATTAAAGATTATATACATAACTGGAGAGAAGATGGTCACACAAGTTAAAAACCAGTCCTTATGTATGAAATTTAAACTGAGTTTCCAAAGTGAAAGAAATTCCAAAATTTGGGGAAGGTGAGGGGGTGGTGTGGTAGATGAAAGCTATGCAGATTCCGGATGTTTTAGTTTTAGTACAACACAAATGACCAAATTTGACGTTCACACATTTACTCAAGAATGTTTTGCATTCAATATGACTTCTCCCAGCATACATATTTGTTACATTGTCAATAGAAGGCCAATCACTATAAATGTTTCACAACTTACATCAAGGATATTTTGTACTTTGCTTAAAAATGAACTAACAAGTCAATAAAATCAGTTAAATGATTAATCTCAACAATAAAATACAAATCCTGGAATTATAATAGGCTTTTGCAAGATGAAAGAAAGCAGAATTCAATAGTCTGTCTTAAGTGATCGCATATGACGCAGCAGGCATTTTGACAGTGGCTGTCCCATAGGACCATGCCATTATTTTGCTGGTCTTTAGCTGAATTTCAGCCAACGAATGGATATTTTAGACACAATCATCCCTTCCCTTCCAGAAAGCCAGACTAAATTCTACCTTGTCTAACTAAAGGAACAGCAAATGTCAACACCTTCAGTTAGCTGAGCTATGCACTCAGCAGTATCTCAGCTATATACAATCTATACTCTCAGAAAAAAGACCTATTTCAAACTGAACTACTTTCTATAGATACGAAACTCCCAAGCATAATTTATCAACAGCAAAAATGTACCATTAGTCTTCTGCTGACTGAAAAAGAATCTGTTGAAATTACCGATTAGAATTTTAGAAAACAATGTATTGACCCTGAGCTAGCAATTACAAGTACTTAAAATTCTGATATAAAGATAAATTCAACATTACAATGAAAGCAGGGACCAAAACAAAATTGATATTTGCATTCCGACTCTGTAGCTAAAAATAAATCCCAGGAAGATGCTACTGACCTTCAAACTGTAGAAAGCAACTCAGGCAGATGGTAAAACACAACACATGGCCAGAATTAACTTTTAGATTTCTCATATGAAAAATTCAATTCCCCTACATGTCAACAAGCACTGTTAATTATGACCAAATTCTGGCGCTTGTGCTGCAGTCTCTTTCCAACAATTCTAAAAGCACCTTTCAAAGCTGCAATGTCTTGCTTTAATCAAGGACTCACTAATCTCAGCTGTAATCATTCTACAATTATATAGAACCAAAATAAATTACAAACTTACACTGAGCGTCTAGCAGATATCTCAACTAAATAACAGGTATTTTTATGCATTGATAGGTGCAACATTATTCCAAATAAGTTCAAGATGTGTATGGTTGCTTTTGTGCAGGTCCTCATCGTGAAATGCAGAGGGTAGAACTTAATCTTGGTGATAGGCTTTTGTCCAACAACTGGGGAATTGGTAGTAGTCTCACATCACTTCCTTTGGGGAGTCTACTTAAATGGTCAGCCAATCAGAGGCTAGCGGTTTGCCACTGCTATCAGCCACTGGCAGCAATACATCTATTAGATGGCGAGGGATCACAGATCAAAGTGAGTGAAGGTTGCTGGATACAATGGAAAGTTGAAAGAAAGAATAGGGAGTGGAATTAGTGGTCCTTCCACTTAATGCATAGCCTTCCAGTGAAGAGCCCCTCCTCGCCAACTCCCCCACCTCCACCCTTGCTGGAAAGCTCTTTAACAAACTTGACACAATTTGCTTGGGTTCCCTGCATGGCAAGTGCCCCTTCAGCTCCTGTTCAAACAAAAGTGGCTGCAGCTTGAAACCCTCAAACAGATATTAATTGCGTGTGGAGCATGGAGAGGGGGATTCTCACCTGCAACCCTCCTGGTTAATTAAATTCCTCCCATTGGCCCCTTTGGGGATGAGTGGGAACTACAGTCCACTGAATACATTTTCTTACGCAGAATCCTGATCTCTTTAACGACATAAAATGAGAAGGAGTTTAAAAATACTTTAAAGATTCACTAACTACAGACCTGCATTTACTTTGAAATTCATATGTTAAAATGAAAAAGTCCCGTGTTCACATAAACACAATGACCCAGATACAGTGGTGCCAATGGCAATCTGAAAACAAATAAAGCAGCAACCATGCATCATTGTTGAGACATTAAAAGTAAATTTGAAATTAAAGTCAAAGTCACAATGATATGAGAGTAATTTTAAAAAAAAAAGCAATGTGCAAAGACTCTTCTCAGCAACTTGTGTGATTACCGCAACTGTTGCTCTAAGATTATTATCAAACAGCTCATAAGTAGAACTTGTTGCGAGGGTCTAATGGAGTGAGCAGTATCTTCAGGAGCAATTTTCTTGGGTTCTATAGGGCCAAAGAGCACAGGTGCATCTGTACTCATGAAGTCAAACTCAGAGTGACAATCCAACCCAAAACAGCCACTTCCACTTTCTTCACCACTGCTTTCATCACCTATGGGAAACGGAACAATTAAGTTATTTTCAGACTGCTTATCGCACAAATATAACATTGCTTTAATTAAACAATAAAAACAAAAATCAATTTATAATGGTTGTAATTGCTGGAACATTTAAAATAACAGAAATGCTATTTGAGCTGCAAACATCCAGACAAGTAGGGACTACTCCATCACATTCGATGGGCTGAAGGGCCTCTTTCTATGCTGTGAAAACTCTGACTCTGTCTTATGCCTGACTTCCGCTCTGCACATGGTGGGCAGACTTGTGGAGATAGGTGATGAGTTACACACCAGAATCCAAGCCCCTGACAAGCTCTCATAACCAAAGAAATTATAATGGCTAGTCTATTTCAGTTTCTGCTCAATGGCAATCCCTAGAATGTTGACAGTACGCAAGATGGTGAGGATAATGCTGTTGAATATCATAAGGTGGTTGTTAGGTTCTCTTGTTGGACAGGGCCATTGCTTCAAGTCAGGTGGCAACATGTTACTTGCCATTTATCAACCCAAATCTGAATGCTGACCAAGATCAGAGAAGATGTTATTGTCATAGACGTAGCACAACACAGGTTCACCAGGCTTGTTCCTGGGAGTGTAGGACTCTCACATCTCGAGAAATTGGGCAAATCAGGTGCACTGATGATGTTACTCTGCTGAAATGAAATGTCTGTGGAACAACGAACCAGCTCAGCAAGCCAACCAATCACAACATCCACAACCCGAGCTACATATCTACTCAAGAACCTTACAGGTCCTTGTCTTTGAGAGCTGCAGTCCAAATGGGTTGAAGGGTGTTTTTCCGTGATGTAGACCTCTGTGGTTTCAAAGAATGAAATGTGACTTCATTGACACCTACAAAACACTTAAAAGGGACAAAAGCAAAATATTGTGGATGCTGGATATCTGAAACAAGAAGCAAAAAGGCTGGAGAAACTCAGCAAATCTGTCCACATTGATGGATGGGGAAGAAAGTCCAGTAGGAGTCTTCTTCAAATTAATTTCCGGGCTTGACCTCACAGCAAATATCAGATTATTTGTTGTTTCTTTTTTTTTTTAAAGAAGCTGCTGTTCATAGTCGAAAAATCACCTTCAATTCTCAGCTCCAAACCAAAAATGAGAGAAAATAAATGAAGGTCTCAACACAGGGTAGATGCAGTTAAGATGTTTCCTGTTTGGAGGAATCTAGAACCAGGAGGCACAATTTAAAAATAAGAGGCTTGCCAATTCGGACCGAGATAAATAGAATTTCTTTACACAGAGCGTGATGAGTCTTTGGAATACTCTGTACCAAAGTGCTGACGAAGTCTCTTGGTATATTTAAAGTGCAGGCTGATAAATTTTTGATTAATCAATTACGTGCAGAAATATGGGTATAGTATCTGTAAAGGCACTGAAGTGTTCGACTAGCCATGGTTATAGTAAATCATGGCTAAGCAGCCCCGACAGGCTGAATGTCCTACTCATGTTCCTAGGTCTTACTGCACATAGACCAGGTCTGCTTCAGTATCGGAGGAATCACAAACGTGTAATCAGCAGCGAAGATTCCTACTTCTGACCTTATGATGGACAGCAGGTCATTAATGAAGCAATAACAGATAGTTGGATCTAGGACACTATCCTGAAGATGCAATGCACTGGAACTGAAATTATTGGCCTCCAACAACCATAATCATCTCTATTTATACTCGGTACAATTCTAGTCAGTTGAGAATTTTTCCCCAATACCAACTGATTTCCATTTAGCTAGATATGACACTCACTCAAATGTTGTTTTGATGTAAAAGACAATTACTCCTACCTCGTCTGAGAAATTCAGTTCCTCTTTCCACGTGTTACAACCCACTGGGTAGTGCACTGTAAATCCTCACTATTCTCGGAGGCATACCAAATGTTAAGGTTTCTTTTAAAAAAAAGCTACACACAGTACCCCAACTTACCTGACTCTCAGACCAAGTTTGATAAAAAAGCATGGACTATTATTGTACTATGCAGGGAGGCGATGGCCTAGTGGTATTACCGCTGGACTGTTAATCCAGAGATCCAGATAACATTCTGGAGACCCAGGTTCGAATCCTGCCATGCCAGATGGTGGAATTTTAATCCAATAAAGTATCTGGAATTAAGAATCTAATGATGACCATGAATCCATTGTCGGAAAAACCCACCTGGTTCACTAACGTCCTTTAGGGAAGGAAATTTCCATCCTTACTGGTCTGGCCTACATGTGACAGCCATGTGATGGACTCTCAACTGCCCTCTGGGCAATTAGGGATGGGCAATAAATGTTGCCTCGCCAGCAAAGCCCTCATCCCATTAATGAATAAAAAAACTGAACTAAAATTAGCCATAAATAATTAGACTACAGCAAAAAATAAAAATATTACAGGCAGATAACACGATTAACTGAAACTCGAATCCCCTTACAAACTCCATTTACATACAAACATACACAAACAGAAAAATAGATTATTGGTGGAGGTAGAATAAACTGGAAAGTCAGTTCAGTGGTCTGTGTTTCCCAATTCTAGTCTTGCGATGATTAGTCTTTGGCTAGCCAGGCCTTTGGTGTTCAGTTGTCTTCCGCTAGCTCTGAAGTATTATAGAGTGACTAATTCACTTGGAAAATGTTTCTGATTTCTCAATTCAAAAGTCACAGTTCACAGCTGTAATTTTGGGTGTCTTTAATCTGTATATAGATTTGGCAAATCAAATCAGGAAAGGCATGTGGAGGAGGAATTCCGAGAATGTATATAAGATCATTTTCTGGATCAATAAGTTGAGAAACCAACTAGAGAACATCTAATGAGAAAGGCACAATTGGCACTCTAGCTGTGTGAGGCACTTTGGAGAAGAGTGGCCATACAATGATGAAATTCTTCACTAAGATGCACAGTGATGTAGTTTATTCTTAGACTATAGTCCTTAATCTAAACAAAGGAAACTACAAGCATACAAGGTGGGAGATGGCTATGATAAAATGGGGAATGTACTTCGAGTCATAGAGCAGTACAGCATGGAAAAATACCCTCGACCCAACTCTTCCATGCCAACCAGATACCCGAAATTAATCCAGTCCCATTTGCCAGCATTTGGCCCATATCCCTTTAAACCCTTTCTATTCATATACCCATCCAGATGCCTTTTCTATGTTGTAATTGTACCAACCTCTCCTACTTCTTCTGGCAGCTCATTTCATACATGCATCACTCTCTGCGTGAAAAAGTTGCTCCTTCGGTCCCTTTTTAAATCTTTCCCCTCTCATCTTAAAACAGAAGGGATGATGGCAGATAGACAATGGCAAACATTTAAACAGCACATGGATGAATTGCAACGACTGTTCATTCCTCTCTGGCACAAAAATAAAATTGGAAAGGTGGCTGGACCATGGTTTGTGAGAAAACCTGCTGAGCTTTTCCAGCAGATAGTAGGAACTGCAGATGCTGGAGAATCTGAGATAACAAGGTGTAGAGCTGGATGAACAGAGCAGGCCAAGCAGCATCAGAGGAGCAAGAAAGCAGCAGAGAAGCCTGAAATATCAGCTTTCCTGCTGCTCTGATGCTGCTTGGCCTGCTGTGTTCATCCAGCTCTACACCTTGTTATCTGAGCTTTGCCAGCAGCTTTGTTTTTGTTCATGGCTAATGAGAAATTTGGGATAGAATTAGATTCAAGGAAGGGGTATACAAATTTGCCAAGAAAGCAGCAGACCTGAGGATTGGGAACAATTTAGACTTCAGCAAAGGAGGAGGGAGGGATTAAGAGAAGGAAAATAGAGTGTGAGAGTAAGCTTGCAAAGGGCAAAAAATCTAATTGTAAAAGATTCTATAGTTATGTGAAGAGGTCCCTTTCAGTCAGAAACTGGGGAAATTACAAAGAGAACAAAGAAATGGCAGACCAATTAAGTACATACTTCTGTTCAGTCTTCACAAGGGAAGATACCAATAACATTCCAAAAATGTGGAGGAACAGTGTTGGAGAAATTGATAGGATTAAGTACTTCACTAAGTAGCCTGAGAAACAGTGGATGCATCTTTCAAGATTCTACAGACTCAAACAATTCCTATGGATTGGAGAGTAGCTAATGTAACCTCACTAATAAAATTTGGAAGTACACAGAAATCAAGTAATTGTAGACCAGTTAGCCAGACATCAGTAGTGGGGAAAATGCTAGAGTCTATTATAAAAAATTTAATAGCAGAGCACTTGGAAAACAGTGACAAGATCGCACAGAGTCAGCATGGAAATACGAACGGGAACCTTTTTTTTTTGAGGATGTAACTAGTAGAATTGATAAGGGGTAGCCAGTGGATGTAGCTATAGAAGCCTTTTGATAAAGTGTCCAATAAGAGATTAGTATGTATGATTAAAGCCAGGGAAGCATACTGACATGAATGGAGAACTAGTCGGCAGACAGAAAACAAAGAATAAAAAAAAAAAGGATCTTTTTCTGCAGTAACAGGCATTAACTAGTGGGGTAATGCAGGAATCAGTGTTCCAACCCCAGCCACAGTATATGTTAATGATTTAGATGAGGGAACTAAATGTAATATCCCCAAGTTTGCAAACAACACAAAGGTGGGTGGAAGGGTGACCTGTGAGAAGGATGCAGACCAGTTGAGTGAATGGCAAATGCATGGCACATTTTTTAATTCACTTGTGGAATGTGGGCATTGCTGACTGGAACAACATTTATTGCCCATCCCTAGCTCACCTTGAGAAGGTGGTGGTGAGCTATCTTTTTGAACCACTGCAGTCCAAGTGCTGCACGTAGACCCACAATACTGTTAGGAAATTCCAGGATTTTAACCCAGCAACAGTGAAGATACAGATGTAAATTTCCAACTCAGGATGGTGAGTGGCATGGAGCGGAACTTGCAGGAGGGACAGGAAACCACGAGTAAGAAAGGAGGGACAGGAAACCACGAGTAAGAAAGAAGGGTCTTTTACTGAGTGACTGCAAGATGAAGTGTAATGTAGATAAAAGCTAGGTCATTTA